TATTAATTTTGGTGCGTAGAATCCAAAACAATTGGTACTTTTTCGATCAGACTTCTCAATCAAAAGTTATAGACTAGAAACCAATTTCGAAAGAAAATTCAAAGGGCTGTAACTTTGGAACTAGTAGCCCAATCTTGGAACTGTTTGAAATTATGGATTCTACAGGCCACATTCTATAAGAAAATTTTTTTTCCGGGTCGATCTGAGACATTTTTTTTTCGGGCCTCAAAAAAAGGCAGTGTATAACCTTCCTTTTTTACCAAAAATCGACTGCACCAAAATTTCTCGGGAAAACACTTTTTCTTATTAATTTTGGTGCGCAGAATCCAAAACAATTCGTACTTTTTCGATCAGACTTCTCAATCAAAAGTTATAGACTAGAAACCATTCGAAAGAAAATTCAAAGGGCTGTAACTTTTGAACTAGTAGCCCAATCTTGGAACTGTTTGAAATTATGGATTCTACAGGCCACATTCTATAAGAAATTTTTTTTCGAGTCGATCTGAGACAATATTTTTCTCGGGGCTCAAAAAAGGCAGTGTATAACCTTCCTTTTTTACCAAAAATCGACTGCACCAAAATTTCTCGAGAAAACACTTTTTCTTATTAATTTTGGTGCGTAGAATCCAAAACAATTCGTACTTTTTCGATCGGACTTCTCAATCAAAAGTTATGGACTAGAAACCAATTTCGAAAGAAAATTCAAAGGGCTGTAATTTTTGAACTAGTAGCCCAATCTTGGAACTGTTTGAAATTATGGATTCTACAGGCCACATTCTATAAGAAAAATTTTTTTCCGGGTCGATCTGAGACAATTTTTTCTGAGGGCCTCAAAAAAAGGCAGTGTATAACCTTCCTTTTTTACCAAAAATCGACTGCACCAAAATTTCTCGGGAAAACACTTTTTCTTATTAATTTTGGTGCGTAGAATCCAAAACAATTCGTACTTTTTCGATCAGACTTCTCAATCAAAAGTTATAGACTAGAAACCAATTTCGAAAGAAAATTCAAAGGGCTGTAACTTTTGAACTAGTAGCCCAATCTTGGAACTGTTTGAAATTATGGATTCTACAGGCCACATTCTATAAGAAAATTTTTTTCCGGGTCGATCCGAGAGAATTTTTTTTTCGGGGCTCAAAAAAAGACAGTGTATAACCTTCCTTTTTTACCAAAAATCGACTGCACCAAAATTTCTCGGAAAAACACTTTTTCTTATTAATTTTGGTGCGTAGAATCCAAAACAATTCGTACTTTTTCGTTCAGACTTCTCAATCAAGTTATAGACTAGAAACCAATTTCGAAAGAAAATTCAAAGGGCTGTAACTTTTGAACTAGTAGCCCAATCTTGGAACTGTTTGGAATTATGGATTCTACAGGCCACATTCTATAAGAAAATTTTTTTTCCGGGTCGATCCGAGTCAATTTTTTTCTGGGCCTCAAAAAAAGGCAGTGTGTAACCTTCCTTTTTTACCAAAAATCGACTGCACCAAAATTTCTCGGGAAAACACTTTTTCTTATTAATTTTGGTGCGTAGAATCCAAAACAATTCGTACTTTTTCGATCAGACTTCTCAATCAAAAGTTATAGACTAGAAACCAATTTCGAAAGAAAATTCAAAGGGCTGTAACTTTTGAACTAGTAGCCCAATCTTGGAACTGTTTGAAATTATGGATTCTACAGGCCACATTCTATAAGAAAATTTTTTTTCCGGGTCGATTTGAGACAATTTTTTTTTCGGGGCTCAAAAAAAGGCAGTGTATAACCTTCCTTTTTTACCAAAAATCGACTACACCAAAATTTCTCGGGAAACACTTTTTCTTATTAATTTTGGTGCGTAGAATCCAAAACAATTCGTACTTTTTCGATCAGACTTCTCAATCAAAAGTTATAGACTATAAACCAATTTAGAAAGAAAATTCAAAGGGCTGTAACTTTTGAACTAGTAGCCCAATCTAGGAACTGTTTGAAATTATGGATTTCTTTCCGGCCTCAAAAAGACGTAGTATTTTTAAGTTATTCAAATATTTGAGAACAATTTAGAAATGTTTAGGGAAAGTTTCCATTGTCACAAAATGAAATATAAAAATCCGATACAACTGAATACCGAACGATCCTGGAGTGAAACTTTTTGACTCGATAGTCTACGTAACTTAAAAACAATAGGGACCTTTCTTATATCCTTAAAACCATGTGTACCAATTTTCAAAGCGATCGCACGTTTCTAAACAAGTTATCATGCACACGGACAAACGGATGGTCAAAAATGGATCTGTTCCAAAATCGCTAGGATTAATTTCAGAAAGGCGTACGTATCATGTGCAGGCCGCTTTGAAAACTGGTACACGTATTCTTAAGTATATAGCCGGTATAAGAAAGGTCCTGGTAGGTACCTCCTATATAATAATATAATAATAATAATACGCTTTTACTCCCCTTAAATTTGTATATAACAATAGAAATATAAAAAAAGCTAACCCCATACAAAGTATAACTTGATTTTTTAAGTAGTATTAAGCCTTTTATCTAGTATACTATTTTAAATGTTTAATGTATTTGAGTGACAAGTATTTGAATACTTTTTACTGTATTCGACTACTTTTCAATGTAAGTTAATGAAATACTTTTCAAAGTGTTCGAATACTTTTGAAAGTATTCGAATACATTCTAAAGTATTTGAATACTTATTTTTTTAAAGTATGTGAATACTTTTCAATGTATCTGTATCTAGTATTCGCTTGTGCTGGACGTAAAAGTATTTAGTATTCAAATACCTTTGATTTGTGTAAAGTATTTAGGTACTATTTAGTAATCAAATACTTTTTGAAAGTATTCTGCCCAGCTCTGATTACAATGTTCTTATATTCATTACGGCAAGTTGTTTATTTACACGTTGGTTTAATTTCGGTAGGTTTTGACGTTACCCATTTGCTGATACAGAATGTGATTAAAAATTAAAGGAACTTTTTAGTTCAGGTCCATTTTCGCTGTTTAACGCTTTAGAGCTGCATACGTATATCGCCGTAGCAAGTGCGCATTAGGTATTTCTTACAAGTGCTTTAAAATATGGAAACTTTTACAATCTATCTTACTCTTTATGTTAACGATTATGATTTTCAATTTCTTCTTAATTCAGGTTATACATACTTACTCATGATTGACGAGTTCACGAGGATCAGGAATTATCTGACAGCTTGGGGTTTGAAGGTAATTTTTACATTATATAATTTTCCATTCGATTTATGAACCTATAAGTACTGATTGTAATTCAAAAATCCTTCTATTAATATTACCTGTTAATTTGAGTATCCGCTCCCTGTTGTGCGTTACCTTACCTATATACCAAAAGCATCTGCAAATCTTTGCTGCAGGTTTTTTCGGTCCGATAAATGCAGTTTACAATCACAAACTGCTCCTACAATTATGAAGTCTTGAAGTCATGAAGCTCATGGAACTTTGCTTTTAAACCGGAGTATAAAAGAAGATTGCATACGTATGGAATCATCAGTTGCCAAATTTCTACGAGGTTATCATGTATTATCGTTTACGAAACACGAATACAAAACTGTGTTCACTGCATTTTCTTTTATGTATTCGTTTTTGTGTGAAATATAATATCAACAAATAAAAAAAATGGGATCAATATGTCTTAATTTATTGTTCATTTGAAACGTATGTTATTTGTCCTAATGTACTGATCTATTTGGATCAAATTCATAAACACGCGTTGTCGAAGTATTCATTGAACGTACCTAATAGATATCATTGTAATATAAGAGAGTTGTTAACTGAACAAAAGATTGGTGTTATTCGTTTTGATAGTGCTACGGATTTCTTAGTTACATCTTTGAATAATAAATCTGAATATTTATTCAATGGGTACATGCAAAATGATTGAATGAACACAAAATAAATGACATATTTTCTCATTTCCCATTGTACCGCATTGATTATAGGCAAATAGAATAAACTGTTGATAGAATCCTTTTTTGGTTCCATTAACCATTTATTTTTCTCAGTGTAGAAACTGCAACCGCACCACAATGACCAACAAAGTGTAGGTGATGTAAGTTTGCGTTATCGTTAATGTAATTTGGTAAAACGTGATTATTTAGTGTTTGTGAAAGTGTGTGTGTGTGTATTCGTGCTCTTCGTGTTGGGCCAGTGTTTGAGAATTCTAACAGTGCATTGTCAAATTCTTTTTGAAGGGATGTGAGTGTTTGGTTTGTGTGATTATTTGTATCTATCGATTGCTGAAGTGTCGCAAATGTCTGTATTTCAGAGTTGTTTAGAAATGATGTATTATCTTGTACGGTGAGTGTGTTGTTTCATGTTTGTGGTGTGTAGTGCAGAGTGCTTCAATTTCGTGCCTGATTTGTTCCTGTGTAAGGAGTGTATTTTTAATAATAACTACGTTGGTCTGCAATGCGTTGCTCAGTTAAGTGTGCTAAATCTGCCATTGTGCATTTTTGTATTATGCAATTTTCATAATTTTTATAATTATATACATACATACAGGTTTGAATGTCGCCTTAGGCCGGGCCCCTATGGTGCGATGGTCCCCTGGCGTTTACTCCCGCTTATCCTCGTATCGGCGGCCCTGTTGTAAATACGGGTTTGTGGTCGTAATAGTAATTTATTCAGATATTATTCTGAATTTTATAAAAATGTGATTGTACTGTTGTAGTGCAAGTTCCTTTACGGTTACTAAGGGTTGCTCTACCGTCGTAGTGTCAGAGCGTTGATAGCTCCAACCTGTCATGTGACGACTTATCATTTGTCCAAATTTTATTTTTAATTCCTACGCCGTGTTTTATCACAAAAGTGTGTTTGTCAAGCAAATAAATGATAATAATCCCCTGCCTAAAGTACGTACATTCGTTCTTTACGTAACCGTTTATATCGCAATACATACAGACTTATTGATATTAATTCATTAAACCCATCAGATTGAATTGGAAGCATTGTACGAGACAATTTATAACACAATGCTAAAACTTTAAAAATTCAATGCCGTCTCGTTCTCTGCCCAATTGTGCTTCTACAGTTCTAGAAATGTAAGTAGGTAGGTAGGAACATCTCAAGTTGAAATTCGAGTCAGAGTTTGACTTGCGCGTTGAAATGATACTTAAGTTATCGTAAGATCCTTGGAGCTAGTTTATGTGCAAAGAACACAGCTAAGATATTGAATGCCATTCAGCCAATGAACCTGAACGTAGTGTTTCGTTTACAACGTTAGACTGTTGAATCTTCGGAACAACCTTACATTAAAGACGCCAAGGTCGTCACTTAGAAATTTATTTACTTTTCCGGGCAGTGATATATAGTTCGAATGTTTTTAAAACTCCCGAGTGATTTTTGTTAATATAGAGTGGCAGGAATGTTGTTTTGATACGCTTTTTTGCAAATTTACGAACAGATTTATGCTGGGATGGAAAGTCGGACGATGGTTTACACCTCCCCGCTGTTGTTTTGTTGTTGATCTGCAACTACATAATGTTTTGGTAAGCAATTTGCTTCATTTTAAAAAGAACCACATGTACCTGTACGCATTTTTTCATTTTATTACAGGTTAGAGAGAGTAAAAACGAATGAAATTGACAGATTAATTCATATTAAGCGTAATTGTCTTTAATTAAACGTAACATCTGCAGAGTAATTGTATGATATATAAATGTTTCTAATCTCGGTTCCTATTTAAACATACACATTTATCAAATTGCTAATTATACTTAATGTAACTTTCTTTTCATAAATGAAGAGGACTGTTTAATTAAGATATTTAAAATAAATGTGGGTGAATACACCCACTTAGACCCCAAAAGTCCACCAATTTTGCCTGAATAAATACATATAATAAACACTTTTCTTTATAATAAATATTTTATTCTTTTTCTGTTTGTAACATAAGGTAAGTATTTTTTAAACATTATACCTATTATCTTTTTTGAAGTGATTTAGTGTTGTTGCAGCGCAAATTGACCTGTGTCTGTTAAAGTTGAAGAGCAGGAATTTTAATTATCCTCTCATCACGTCCATGCATCTAACAGTTACACTGCCAATCAACCTCTTTTTTGGCAAGCATTCGACGTTAGTAGAAACATGTGTATTTCAATGATCTTGCTATTCAAGCTGAAGTAGTTTACTAAAAATATCATATCTTACTCCTGCAGTATGAGTCGCTTTATGCAAAACCGCATTAAACATTTTTAGGATGAAACTACCTAGGTATCTATTATTCATATGTAGAATATTATCAACTATATACAAGAAAACCCATTGATAGCACAAACGATGAAACCAGGTGCGTTGGTTAGTGCCATTGTATATAAACCTTACCTGAAGGTTTAATCATTATCGGAGTTGCATTTATTAAACAGACTTACAACTAGATATTCAGTCAACAAAAGCTGAACTTAAAAAAATTATCAAAGTCCTCGTGTGAGATCGAAGGGACAAGGTGCAAATTTGATTATATAATTGCTGCATATTATCTACCAAAGGAGAGAAGAAGAGTAAGTTTGTGCGTGAGTAGGGAATATAGAATAATGTACGAGTACGACACAAGAAAGATGATACATAAAAATTGATTTGCGCCAGATTTTTGGAGTTGACAATAGTCCCATGGAGTAACTGAGCAAGTTCCTGTCTCTTTTTAATATTAAAAGATGACAGCAGTTCAGAGTAGGTAATTAGATGCGTGTATTACCCGCTCCGTTTACAGTTGAGATACCTTTGAAGGCTATTCCCGAGGCTATTCCTAAGAGTGATAGAGTGAGGCTTCCAGACAATACATGCATACTCTTTATTTCCAGAATGAGTCGTAGCTCTTCCCCGTCCATGGAATACTCGTACATTATAGGATCTTCTTTGTAAAAGTAAGAACTGAGCATTTGGAAACGTTGAAGGATAATTTATTGTGTTCCAACCAGATATTGACAGGATCTAATGCAGCGCTTGAGAATCATTTACGTCAGAGATGGCTTTAAACAATTTTAAGTCATCTGCATATAATAGAATATTGGAGTTCTTAACCACTTCAACGACTTTATTTATTAATAGGCTAAAGATGAGGTGTCCTAAAACAGAGCTCCCGATGTGGCGATATACTGCTTAGATGTGTATCCCTGGAACCACACGTATTGACGGCGATTTGTAAAACAGGATTTAAAGAGATGAAGTTAATCCAAAGATAAGCCATAATGCTTTAGTTTAGATATAATGATAGAGTGGTCACATCTATCGAAAGCCTTGGCTAGATCCGTGACACACCTTGATTCATACTGCTGGAAATAAATTGCGTCAAGTTGATCAAGTTGATGACAGTTGATTTTCCCGAGATGAAACCATCCGAGATATGTCGCAGCGCTTGTGAAAAAACCTCTTTTCTAAATGCAATTTTAAAAATTTTGTTGAAAGTATGGAAATTGGCCTATAATTGCTCGCAGCGCTTCTATTCCCTTTTTTAAATATAAGCGTTACCTTGGTGGTTTTCCATACATCAGGAAAGGTATTCGACTTAAGGCATTTGTTAATTATAATACACAGTGGTTTACTCAACACTTCTGAGTGCCCTTTGAAAAAGTACTGCGGAATGAGATCTGGACTCACAGATTTTTTGGATTTCAATCCTTTCATAGCTTTTAAAATTGTAGCCTGGTCAACTTCCTTCCACGTAATAACATTAGTATGTACTGGAATTCTGCTATTATGAGGATTGTCATAATAATCTTCGTTAGATTGAGATGGTAAGTAAATGGATTCCAAAATTATTTGATATTTCAGGACCCGTTGACGCTACAACACCATTAAACTCAACTTCACACACCTGGGAAGTTTGCCTTCTGCAGTGTTTCACATAGGACCAAAAGCGATTAGGATCGCGTCTAATTTCATTGTCGATGCCATTTAAATATTGACGGTACCCTGATGATATTCCCTTTTTGACTGTTAACTATCGGATGCACGTGGATCATTTAGTGAGCGTAGGCTTTTGTATTTTTTAAACATTGTATGCTTAATTCTGTTTGATGCCATTATATTTGTTGAAAACCAAACAGGGTATGATGAACCATTCCTAACTCTCTTCATGGGGCAGAATTTGTCCAAAATATTGCAAGGAAGGTCATAGAAGCTATTAACAGAATCATTAACATCAACTGCAACGCTTAAGATCTCGGGGCAAACCACTTAGCAATTTTGGTGTACAAGCAGTAGCAATTTTGCAGCAATCATGGCAATTTTTCAGAAATTGTGGCAATTTCCCAGAAATTGTGGCAATTTCCCAGAAATTATTGCAATTTTGCAGCAATTATGACAATTTTGCAGCAATTATGGCAATTTTGCAGCAATTTTATAGCAATTTTTGCAATTTGGAAAATTGTCGGGTAAAGTATGCCAATATAAAATTAAAGCATCTTTTTAAATACTTTATTTGTAGTATGAAGGACTCCATTATTGTAGTTTGTTGACTTATACGTAGAATTAATTTAAAAAGACAAACTAAGTTTTATTAAAAGTTTTCTCTGGGCTATCGATTTCGGGAAATACCCATTATCAGGATGATGCTAGTTCCACTTGCATCCCCTAAAATAGATCTACAGCTCTAAATAGGTTTTAATCGCTAGAAATCTCATGTGTAGTGAAGGTAATCGGAAAGCTCGCATAACATACATCAGGTTACGTCCCTTGCAGTAGATGAGTAGATGCAAACGAATTTTCTTAAGAAACATGTTACACATAGCAGACAGACATGGTGGGTGGACAGGCAAATACAGTATACAGCAGCGCAGTTCTTAGGATAATGTGATAAAGCACTTTCATAGTTCAGGTAGTTACATGAAGATGTAATTTTGTACAGAGAAAGCGACTGAAGTAGAACACCTGGTAAACAGTAGCTAAAGTAAATCTAATTTTAATATCTACGGTACTTTCCATCTAAAATAATCTTATCAACATTTCTAGGTAGGTATATATTGCTAACTTTGTTATCATTAGACCTTGATTAGCAAATATGAAGCATATTAACTCAGATCGCAATAGCGAACTGGAAGGATAAATAGAACTTCTTCTACACATACTTCTCTCCACATTCCTCACAGTTACCATAGACTTCAACAAAAACTTAGGACCTTACGGTCCATATTCACATCTCCGGGGAACGTTTTCAAAACTCTTGGACTGACATTAGAAATGTCTAATGAATTGGATACTCCGAGGGATACTCTTATACATGACCATAAGACCTCAACGCCATTCCATGGCATTGGTACCGATTTCTTTGCGAAGGCGTCTAAACGCATCAGTTTAATGCGCAGTGGATTTGACACGGAATTTGATGAATTTCTGTTGCACATTAGTTAGTTTATCAAACGAGTTAGTTTTATGCATTTATCTATCCTTTCAACTCCGTAAAAATAATTACGAACGGAGAAAGGTGAGTGATATCTTTTTTTTAAGAAAATTAAAGAAACTGTGACCAGCTGACCTAAGCAGGGACTAGGCGGACCTTGTCAGTGAAGAGTATCCCATTACGTCGTATAGAGTTGCGTTATTAACTCATAAGTCATCAAATAAGCCCATAGCGTGTTTTTCTAATTGCTAATTGAATTTAAAAAAAAGATTTTAACAAGAAAAAACTAAACAAGTTTAAAGAACATCCTCGAGCTAGGTTCAAATTATATTTTTTAAGATTGCTATAAGAGCCACTTAAATTATTTTGGTGCAATTAACATTGGTTTTTAGGGGTAGTTTTCGAAAAAAAAAATCCCCTTATGTGATGGTTTTCAGTTCGTCTGTCCGTCTGTTCAAGGACTGAATCTGACCCGGATTAAAAGTCTGGTGTCCGCATGCGGGCTGAGTGGAAAAAAATTCCCCTACTAAAAATCGTAGGCGAGTTTAATTTTTCATAAAGGAAAAAATACATAATTTCAAGACGGTGAAGGAATATTTTTTAAAACAGAAAGGAGTTACACTTCTATATCTTGTATTTTTTATAATTTATGGTTATACTGTAATGTCCTTTTTGAAATTGTGTAAAGTAGAAACCTTATTTGTAAACCCCTGTAATAATTGGTGTAAAATCCCTACGTTAGATGCAACCTGCTGTCGTCCCCATCCTTTGAAATAAAATCCCTTCTTAGTTCCCCCACTTGTTTGTACTCCTATGATTTCGAATTTCACCAAGAACTTTTTCCCAGATTATTTACTGACCAGAACCGTATTTCGTTGTATTTCAGACGACACTTTTCCAGATTCTTAATTAGTTATTACCTCGGTTATTCCCATACCTGTTTCATAGTTATCTCAGACCGGAGACCTGAATTAGTTTTCCAGTTATCTTTCGCTTAGTTGATTTATTAACTTTTCATCAGACCTGCTAATTTTATTTAATTTTGGTCCGTTACCCATCTTCCTGCGGACTTTACGTTACATCATATCGTATTGACATTTTGGGTTTGTGCATTAGGTGGATCGGTTTGACTCAAATCCAATTGTCATTGTCCTCCGTGAATGCTGAGAGGTTCAACTGGCACTTCATAGGGGGTTGTTTGAATCGATCGGAAGGATCCTTTTAAGGGCGTAAGCTAGGTTAATTCTAGCCGGCCTTATGTGAAACCCTGAAGGGCATTACACTTTAAGGAAACCCAGACTCCGTAAGGGTTGCCTTATAACCGAGCTTATAACTTAATATTTGTACAATTAATGATTCGATTAAAACATTTAAACTCCCGAAAACCAAAACCACCTTAAAAATATGCATCTGATGGTTCAGCAATTTACTAAACTATTCGAGAAACTATTGTCTATTGCTGGAACCTATTGCTACTTTGATGCGAATGGATCTCATCTTCATTATGAGGTGAAAAGAAGGTCTGATATACAATCTTGTAGCAAGAAATCAATGTTTCCATATTGTTATCACGTTGCAACACATTTGGCTGGAATTCGTTACATGTGACTCGTTAACGTTTTTTTGCTTGTTTCATTTTTAATTGATGTAATCTGTATTCTACAAATATAGTTTCAGAAAGCAGCACGAAGATAATCATTGTTCTTGCGATAAAAATCCAACAGTGACACACGAATGAGCGACCAAAGTGGGCAAAGACGAATCTTTCAGTATTTTTGAAGGCTAAACTGGTCTCACAAGTTCCTTGGATAACTTTTATTGCCATTATTGTTGTTTTCCCCCGTAGTTGGGACGACTACATATGCAATTACCCTTAAAAACGCAATCATAATCGATGTAGTGACTACTGTAACCATGAAATAATCGTTAAATTATACCGTCGTAAACTTTACAATAAGTGTGCACAGTAAGATTTATAGCTAAACAATTGCGCAGCAAAATTCGAGCGAAAAAGACCATTACGTAATGGTGGCAGTATGAAATTCTGATGACGAGGAGTTTGATACACATACATAATTAGTGGTGAAGGGAAACTGAGAAATTTTGACAATGATCGAACGCCTAACAAGTGGGACAAAAAATATGACCTGACCACTACCTTTTCTACCCACGTTGCTCGAAATAGTTTTCTACGGAATTAATAAGATGCTGGTATCAACAAGTTGATAACGACAGAAGATGTTTATAGTGCGAAATTATACTGTAGAAATTACATTATTGTTTCTTATAATTGAAGAGTTCAAACTTGTTCTTGATTAATGAATTTGCGCCAACAAACCAGTTGAGGATTCCAACACTTGAAGGAATTTAATTGTGTGTGACCAAAATGACTTTAAGTGGAGGTTGAGTAGGAAGTTTCTAACAAAACTGATGTGACTTCTGATATTCGTTTGGATGTAGATATTTTATTTTATTTGGCCAAATAGTTTCAAGTAGTATACAATAGAGTCGTGGGTCATACACCATACAAAAGCTTAATGAGATGTATTTGAATTTGCCTCGATAGAACGCTTTGTAAATGCAAATGAATTCGGCCACTACCATACTTGAACCACTTATTCAATAAGATTCAACAAGGCAAAATTGTTTCTTATTTATTTGTTCATAATTCTGAAAAATATAGCATTTGTTTATTTACTTACATTTGTTATTTATTGGAATGTTGGATTAAATGACTTCTAGGAAGTAACACTCCTGAATCCAAGAACTGTAGAGGAACGCATATTAACACTTTTTCTTATTAATTTTGGTGCGTAGAATCCAAAACAATTCGTACTTTTTCGATCAGACTTCTCAATCAAAAGTTATAGACTAGAAACCAATTCGAAAGAAAATTCAAAGGGCTGTAACTTTTGAACTAGTAGCCCAATCTTTGTTTCGGGCCTCAAAAAAAAGGCAGTGTATAACCTTCCTTTTTTACCAAAAATCGACTGCACCAAAATGTCTCGGGAAAAGACTTTTTCTTATTAATTTTGGTTCGTAGAATCCAAAACAATTCGTACTTTTTCGATCAGACTTCTCAATCAAACGTTATAGACTACAAACCAATTTCGAAAGAGATTCAAAGGGCTGTAACTTTTGAACTAGTAGCCCAATCTTGGAACTGTTTGAAATTATGGATTCTACAGGCCACATTCTATAAGAACATTTTTTTCCGGGGCGATCTGAGACAATTTTTGTTTCGGGCCTCAAAAAAAGGCAGTGTATAACCTTCCTTTTTTACCAAAAATCGACTGCACCAAAATGTCTCGGGAAAAGACTTTTTCTTATTAATTCTGGTGCGTAGAATCCAAAACAATTCGTACTTTTTCGACTTCTCAATCAAAAGTTATAAACTACAAACTAAACTAAAAAGATTATCTCGACTTAAAACATTTCCAAGGATCATGTAGCAATTTCCAATGGAATATTACTAAAAAGATTTTCAAAGAAACTTTCCTGACTTTCAAGGAATCTGAGAGGAATTCTGATATGTTTTAAGAAAATCTTTTCAATAATATTTTTAAGAAATCCCCTAGAAACATGCCCAAAAAAGATTCCTTCAAAGATTCTGAAAAAACGGTTCCGAGATTCAATCCATGTTTCGAACGAAAGTTCGAGTAAGACAAATTTTGTCTGGTTTTAAGGAGCATTTCTAGTGTCTATGTTTTTTAAGATGACCCTAAGAAGATTGTTAATAACGTTTTCCAAAGACGTTTCTAAGAAGATTCTTATTTTTGTGAAGATTCCTAAACAGGTTTTCACGAAGATGTCTAGTAACATTTTCAGTTTTTTCGAAAGAAATGTTTTCAATACGATTATTTTAAAGAAAATTTATAGCAATATTTTAAAAAATTCTCAAACAGTTATTCAAAAGATTGCGGTGACTGGTTCCACAGGACGTTTTTCGGAAGAAGATCCCTCTACATTTTTTTTAGTAAATTCTTAGGAAATTTAAATTTATAAGTTTTGCAAGAAAATGAAGTAGGCGCAAATGTTTATAAGAAATCCCGCTTTTTGGACAAATTCCTAAAAAGGTTTCCAAGAATATTTCTAGAATAATGTTCTCGTAAGCCGAGTTTGAAGAATATCTTACGAATTGATCGACAAAAAAGCTTTCAAAGGGCGCTTCTAATAAGATTCCTAAACAGGTTTTCAAGTTCAAGCAAAATTCTCGTATGAGGCTTCATAGAAGATTTTTGAAAGAAAATTCCTAAAGAGGTCTTAGATTTCTGGTAAAACGACTAGAAAGATTTCGATCTCAATTTTCAAAAAATTTATTTGCATTAGCTTCCGATATGGTAAATAATTAACACAGCTTGTTGTTGAACACACGGTATAATAACTACTTTAATGATCTTAAGGTTTCTATATGTCTTCAAGAATGTTTTGAAAGAGTGGAAGTATTAGAATCCCTGGGATATAGCCTATCGGCTCTCCCGTATGCAAGTAGAGCGACTAATAAGAATTGAAATCTTAGTGCATTGTTACCACAAGTTTAATCGGTCTAATTTTGCCAAGATGTGGGTGAAAATTTGTTAAAAAATGTAGTTCACCAACGCAAACAAGAAGCTGATTTTCATAACCACGTCCAGCATAATATAAATGAATTTTGATACGTATTAGCAAATTGGTGGTATTGTCAAAGCAAAGTTCCTGCAGAGAGAAGATGATTAATTTGACAGCAAACACTAAAAGTGTTCTTATTCAGACCACATCTTCGCAATCACGTGTGTTACCTCCGGCAAAATTCATTGTATTAGTGGTAGACCAAATTAATGGTCACTCATTGTGTCACTTTGGTCATTTTTAACGGAGTGGCACCGTTCTAAAAAGGTACCCTGGCGTCATATACGTATTGTTGCAAACTGAAGCGGTTATAATGTTTTAGTTTTCGTGGCAGACAGGTAGACTAATTTTTAAAGGTTGACCACAAACATTAGTTCTACCTGTTTGCACTTATCGCCAATTAGATCTGAGCAGACTTTTAAGGAAAGAGAAGATTAGAAAGTTTGGCCAGGCTAATGATAACCCGCATTTAGAAATTTGTTTATTTATTCTACTAACGTCGTTTCAATCTATTCTCTGTTTGCAAAGCAAAAATTTATTCTTTCGAGAATTTTACACAGCAGTCACCAGACAAGATGCGTTTGTTGGTCTTTGGGATAATGTGCCCTGCTGGAAGTTCGACCAATTGGGAATTCTTTGCCAATCGTTGTTCCCATTTAAAACAAAAGTCGAGGAAATGCGCTGTACTTTCCCGTTTTGGGTCTGTGGGGACGGTGTGGGACGCTCGAAAAACGGAATGTAATTAAAATTTCATTTAACCTACTGTTGTTAGGAAGGTTACGTATTTGTTTTATTACATACCGTAGAATATTGACACAGAAGTTTGTTAGTTCTGCTAACTACACGCTAATACGCGTTCTAGGTACTGGTGAGGTAATCGAAGACTTTGCAACAGGACATCTGCGAAATTTACCACTTTAGTGATTTTAATTGTGAAAGGTTAGCACTCGAGAACTCGAGCCCAAAGACTATGAATCGGGAATTTACACATTTGTAAGGAGCAATTTTGACATTGAAGTTACAAACATTTTCTTATAGTTACTCATCTCTCATATTTTTAGAAATTCATGCGCATAATTAATTCCGCTCATCGTTCATCATTGCTTTTTCCATTGCTTTTACTCATCTTGCTCAAAGAGATTGGGTTAGGTACCTACAAGAACCCTATGGTAATTCATTGCAGGAAGGCGCCAAAAATTTCTCTTCGTCCATGGCAAGATGCTAATGCGTTCCACAAAAATAATAAAGATACAATTAGTTAATATATCTTGGAAATTTCTATTGCCAAGTATGAGTAGGTGATTAACGATAATTAAGCAATTAATTTAATAGAATTAGCATGCTATAACACAATCGAATGCAAAGAATTCCTGTAGTTTTCTAAAATGTAACTGTACATAATCCTATTTTATTGTTACAGATGTACCAGTATGGCTATTTATGGCCGTCTTCTACTTTTCAACTTCATGGTACTCATAACTGCAATAAATGCTTCTGCCGTACAAGATTCTAGATACATCTCCTATCAAGGTAACGTATTGTCTTATTTGCAATTAAAATTAGTTTCAGTGTGTCTGTGCTATGGTCACAATTTGCCTGTCCTCAATTAGTAGTCATAAAATCTTAGAATCTGATCTTCAATAACTGTCACTAATTGGTAACGATAAGTTTATTCAACAACGGACTTTGAATTAGATAGTTCGTTGAAGTAGAATATATAAATAACCACTTGAACAAACACCAATAGTATTGGTACATTTACGGTAATATTATTTATTTTGATATCGATAAACTGTCGGTCCTACACTGATAAAATGTTAAAAAACTCGGCTATCAATTTACCTATAGATAAGGGTGTAGGTATACCTGTTTTGATCTTTGTTATAAGTGCTATCCAAACTTACTTAGTCGATCGTAGGTACCAACTCTCATAAAATGAAAAATAGGGCTCGTGAAACTACCTACCTTTATTTTTATGTAACAGAGATCCCATACAGGGTGCTGAAAAATTGGCTAATCAATATCAGAAACCCTGAGCATAAAAATCTTGGAGCTCGCCATTTCTTAAAAGAAAAGGTTTTATTTGACGGTAAGTGTACTAGGTATGTTGAAGAACAGTGCAACTGACCTTTTGTCAGTTTTGTTTTTAAATGACAAAATTATCCAGGAAAACACTTCCACTTACATAAGGTTCATGTTTACTTTAACAAATCAAGTAGGTGTATAGGTACGCTCTCTAGCCAAACAAATATCAATAAATTACAATTGATAAAGTAGTGATACAATGTTTATCGTGTACTTGGTATAGTAAATGTTCGAAATCGATGCAGGCCTTAATAGCCCTAAATGAAATTATAACTGCCACTCCCTGGCAGAGGAGGGAGAGCCACCCCTAAAGGTGCATTTTTGAGCTTTTAGCATTTATTAGGGAAACTACACTCTTCATCAAAAAAGGGATGGTTACCTTTTTTGTAGAGCATAAATCTATCGATTAGGTGTATTAACTTTTATTCTATCGCCACTCCAATCACTAAAACACTACCTCAAAGATGATTAACATTTTGCATTTGACAAAAATGCTTTTGAGGATGATTTGATTTCATCAAAATACTCAATAACATACTCAAAAGCCAAAAGGGCACTCTATTACAATAATTGCTGCCTAAAAAATATCCAAAAAAGTACGCCCCCCTCCCCCCCATAAACTCTATCATTACCGTACCTATCTACATTAGAATCTTTAATTACACCGTTTTGTTATGAGTTTATGACTTAAATCAAGCTAAACAGAACTGTTTGAAGGGTGATACCCCCATCAGGGGAGGACGTGAGAAACTTTTAAAACTGGATTTTTTTGTTTCTAGCGTTTAACAGAGAAACTACGCCATTTAGTAAATAACGGCGATGTTCCCTTTTTGTAGAACAGACAATTCCCTATCAATTGAGGGTACTAACTTTTGATGTATCCCTACTGTAACAGCTTAAATATAACCTTAAAGTCGGTTCCTCAGCTTAAATTTTTTTATTAAAGGGCTCGACATCGATCATTCTTGCGATAGAATTCCCATATTTAAGGCGACGCAACTTGTCCATTTGCAACAATTGAACAATAGTTGGGTAAATTGCATTTTGTATGGAAAAAGATGGAGATCTTCCTTCATAATTCTTCTTAGAGTGGTTCCACCCACGTGCAGTTCCTGAGAACGGCGGCGATACGGCAAACTTCGATTTTCAGCAACGCTCTCTTGACCCGCTTCAACAATTTGATTGGAGCGTCGCGGACGCCTGTCGAATGTGACGCTGGCGAGTAGCTACAGAGGAAGGGGGGGGATAGAGAGATAGAGAATTTTTATGCTCTACAAAAAACTTTTTTTGATAAAGAGTGTAGTTTTCCTGTAATTCCAATGCCAAAAACTCAAAAAAATACACCTTTAAGGGTGGCTCACCCTTCTCTACCAGAGGTGCCCCACCGAACTGCATCCAATCATTATTCACATTCTGCACCATTTTGGAATGTCTACCAGGAACGAAAATTCTCCATTCTAAAACTCCCTGACCCAGTATTATGGATGTCACCTTCATGCAACTCCAATATCTATTCACATGACAACAGAAAGGAAAAGATGCTAGTGATAATATTTCAGTACACAAAACAACGTTTATCTCTCAGTTATCTTTTAGAAAACACAAAGGAGCAATCGCGCGTATTATTATTCTACTGGATCCGCGACATTGTTTGTTAAACAAGTACAGCACTACTAAAAAAAATAGTATTAATTTATGATGATTGGCGCATAAAATTAATTCATCAATCAGCATCTTTGCAATATAATAATTTAAATCTTCCTAGTTCGGAAATTGAAATAAGTACCTACTCCTGCTGCTCGGAGCACCCACCTAAGTACAATAATCCGATATAACGAGACCCTTAATCTAAATTTAGTAGGTGCTCCCCTAGATCAATAACAGAGACCGATATTCCAAGTTTAAAAGACTCTAGGATCTTCGGGCTGACGAACGTGCAGACGGACAAAAGCACGATTTCAGGATGAACCTGTCTTGTCTCGTTTCTTGCAGTAAACAAGCCAAAGAATGTTGAAAATAATTTATAAGTCAAACCAAGAAACAAGACAAGCATGGAGCGCATCAAGAGAAAGATTTTTTCAAACGAAATGTGCAAGAAACAAGGAAATTTGCTTTATACAAGCTGCTACAAATGGCTAATCAATACCGCATTAAGACACTCCCTCAACAAGGAAGAAAATTCCCACAATTTTCAATATTTTAATATGATTTTGATAAAACAGCAAGTTAAAAATCATATTGACGCATACTTTCGTTTATTACGCATCAAAACCAATAATTCAAGATATGTTGTAATATGGTTGACTTAAATTGTCAAATATAAAACATGTTTTTCAAGATCACACTGATTAAACACCCTGTATATTGATATGTGCAATGCCAAAAGGTCCCTAAACCACACACAAGCATCTGCTCACGCAGCTTAATAAAACACTGAGGTACTAACAAAATCGGTTACCGTTTCAACGTCTACCAAACCAAAAAAAACAACGATAAACGTCCACCACCAAACAAGCCGCACGATTTACGTCTTCCTTTGCCATTTAAAGCAGTTCCATTTATAGTTATATAAGGAATCAGCAAATTCTTGCCCCAAAAATGACGTTTTTTGATTTTTCGTAGATTTGCAACCACTAGTAAGCCGATTTTCTAAGGAAAGTGTAACCTACTACTCACAGTTACTGTTCGATGTAGCCCGCAACCAAGTTCTTGTCGGGGCCAGGTAAACCACGGGTAAAAAATTTAATTCCTTACAATCATTGACGGTTTCTAGAGATGCACTCTTCAGACTATCGCTGCCGGCTTTAAAACTATTAGAAGACGCAGCATGGTTTGCGCCAGACGACAAGGTGTCATTGTGCACGGACAAAGGCCAATCTGAGAAAAATTGTCACAACTACGTGAAAGTATTACTTACGGATGGGAAAAGGGTCTTAACTTGCGGAACGAACGCGTTTTCACCAATCTGTTCGTGGCGAGGAGTGGAAAATATATCGGACGAATCGGAAACGCTGGATGGTGTAGCAAATTGTCCTTATAATCCCTCGGCAAACATAACTGCGTTGATATCTGATAGTGGTGACTACTTTTTTGCGGGACCAACCAATTTTATCGGTTCTGACGCTGCTATCTACAGAGGCATTGGAACACACAATGCCATTAGGACAAAACAGTATAACAACATGTGGTTGAACGAACCGCAATTTGTGGGCTCTTTTGAAACCGATCAATTTGCATATTTCATATTCCGTGAACCGGTAGTGGAATATACCAACTGTGGAAAGGTAGTACTTCATTTGTTTATATTATAAAGTTTTTAAATTTTTCTTAACCTTTTAGATTGTCTATTCTCGAATTGCAAAAGTATGTAAGAATGATGTGGGAGGCCAATCGGTTCTCAAAGATAATTGGACAACTTTCATCAAGGCGAGACTAACATGTTTTGCAGCAGGCGAATATCCTGCCTACTTCGATGAAATTCAAAGTACCACATATATTCCAGAGCAAAACGTCCTATACGCTACTTTTACGACTCCCAGCAATGCAATTGCTGGCTCTGCAATATGCGCTTTTAATTTAACATCAATAAATTCGGCTTTCGCGGGTCCCTTTAAAAACCAACAGCATCGAGGTACTTCGTCTGAGTACTACAACACATGTCAGCAACCAACCAATAGAGAACACGAAGTCGAAGCTTCTAAATATCAACTCAAAGAGAACGCAGTGGAACCTACCACCCAAAATCCGTTACACATCGCTGAACTGGAGAGGTTTACACATATCACTGTGGATGTGCTAGCTACAAAATTGGAGAAGTATGTCCATGTAATTTATGTGGCCACTACCGCGGGCATTATTAAGAAGTTAACCGTATTACCCGGACATGAAAAAACGTGTATAGTTGAAGTTTGGCAACCAGTATTAAACGCCGATGTACCAATTTTAAATATACAGTACTTAAAAGAAACGAACTCTATATATGTTGGAACAGAAGTTGAATTGCTACGTGCACCAGCTCATCACTGCGGCCGGCATTTATCAAGAGAAACTTGTTTCAATGCCATGGATCCTTACTGTGGGTGGAACGAGCTTGAGGACACTTGTACGGCAGCTCCCAACTCCGATCCGCATACAAAACATTGGATTCAAAATGAACTTTCATGTCCCGTATTAAATGCTCCAGTGGATGGAGGTGAGTTGATCGTTCATGTACTTATATAACTCATTAATTTTCATTGTTATAGGATGGTCGATTTGGTCGGATTGGTCTCCTTGTAGTTTACAAAATCCGCAGGATCTTCGCTTGATGGATGAGTGTATGTGCCAAACACGCTCTTGTAGCAATCCTACCCCTAAAAATGGCGGTAAAAATTGTGCGGGATATTCGGTCGCGGTAACAAACTGCACGGTTCACGGTGATTGGACCCCGTGGTCTGCATGGTCGGCCTGTTCTGCAACGTGCGGTGTGGCTGCGAAAACCAGGCGACGAACTTGTTCCAATCCTAAACCGGCGCATGGTGGAAGAGTATGTGTAGGTCAAGATCTTGATGAAGCACTATGCTCAGAGAATCCTCCTTGTCCGACGCGCACTATTCCTCCTCAAGATGGTCATTGGGGCGATTGGAGAAGTTGGTCTCCGTGTTCGGTACCATGCGGGGGAGGCTTCCGCAAAAGGCAGAGGGTGTGTGATAATCCACCTCCTCAGTACGGAGGGCAGGAGTGCATTGGTTGCAACATCGAGTATGAAATATGCAACTCACATCAGTGCACCGAGCAAAAACGTGCTAGTCAATCAACCCCATGGTTTGTAGCAAACACATCAAAGCACGAACATGTGGAACATCGGTATAAATACAGCTGTCGAGCACCAGTTCAAGATTCTCAGCAGATTAAGATCAGCCTCGCTAAAGAACAGAGAGTTTGCAGAGACGGCTTTTGTTCATCTATTAATATCGACGATACTCCCAAATGGTCTAACTGGACACCGTGGAGCGAATGTTCCGGTTCTTGCGGGGAAGGTTTACAAATACGCTTAAGAACATGCGAAGGTAAAGGCGAATGTCAAGGAACATCCGTTCAGACCAGGAAATGTAATTTACACAGCTGTAAACCACAGTGGAGTTGTTGGACTGAATGGTCACAGTGCAGTGTGTCATGTGGGATAGGAATGAGGAAACGTCGTCGAAATTGCTTAGGGGTTGATTGTCAGGGGGACTCTGTGCAGGAGGAATCTTGTGAAGGACCACCATGCACATGTGAGTTTCCATAATTAAAAATAGGTCCATTGTTACGTTTTCATATTTATAGCACTTTTGGGTTGGGATACCTGGACGATTTGGTCGCTGTGCGATGACAATAATGAGCAGCATCGTCAACGAAAGTGCAGGACAACAAATCCTGGACAGCATTTATGCCAAGGTCACACAAAGGAAACTAGAATGTGCATCTCTGATATATCAAATGGTAAGAATCACGTGTTTATCTCGTTTATAAAAATGCTTAATTTAGCGTACTTGCAAGGATCGTAATTTGCGTACTTTCAATTCCCTCTATGAATTAAGTATTAAAAGCACCGGATGCGCTTATTCAACTAAAAAATACTGCTTACTACTGTGCAAAGATAATGTAGTATTATATTTGCACTGTGTTGTAGGTTAGTGTCGCTGAGTTTGTTTTAATAATAAACCAAAATCAAAGAAAATTAATTATCTTTAGTTAGAGGATATTTACTCCTATGAAACGCGGGTAACCATATTTTTTTTTTAATTTTTCTCTGTTCTCAAAATTAGTGCGATATTCAGAAAACGAAACGACACTTAATATATTTTCATTCATACGTTCATTACTGAAGAAAAACTGAACTTTTTTTAACTTTTGGTTTCTCCTTGGTTTGCAACGTATGATCTATTTTTTCTCATTTTCTCCGTTTAAGAAAACACTGTTAAATTTGATATTTTTTGTATTCTGTGGCAAAACTGCAACATGTCTAGGTCAGTGTTTCTCAACGGGGGCCATAACGTATTTCTTGGGGGCCACACACGTACAAAAATTATCAGTTTGTGTTATCTCAGTGTACCTTTCCTAGAAAGCAATAAGTCCTAATCATAACTTTAAATTTAAATGACTAAATGGCAAACGCACAATGCAATTGATAAACGCGATATCGCAAATGTTTGTTATTTTTTTCTAACACGACTAACACCCCTCTACCCCCTACCAGGATTATTTTTCTGTAGAGATTAGTTTTTCTACAATTTTCACAGACGAATTAAAAAAAAATGTCAGAGTTAAAACAAAATGAGCTTGAAAATTGTTTCTTGATAACTAAAAGATAAATTAATAGTTTTCGGGTTATTTACATAATTTTGAGTAGAGAAAATCCAAGATGGCTACAAATTCAAGATTTGGGATGTTATTTCATTGTTTTAGACCGAAGGAATACAAAAAAAAATAGATTTTCAAAGAGAAATTGTGCGTTTTGCGCAGTCTTAATCGTAATTCAACTGATTTATTGTTAGTCATAATGGATAATTTTAATCTTTTTACGCAGAAATCAGCCCTATGGGTTTGGAAGTGGAAACAACAGCTGCATCAACAGGTACCGTTATTCTGTGCATTTTAGGAGGGGTCGTTATTGGTTTACTCTGTTCCGGTATGATGGCCTATTTCTACTTCCGTAAGAGAAAACCACGGTTGCCGAGCTCTCCCCATTATATTAGCGCTAAACAAAACCCCTACATAACCGTACCTCTACAAGAATTGCCTTCTAAGAGACAAGGAACTTCATCATCTCATTCAATACTAAATAATACGCATCATGGATCTATTAAATCGAACAAGTGTTACGATTACGATACTGCAACTATCAAACGCAACAGCCACAGCTTGAACAATGGGCATATGAAATCTGACAATTGCTATTATGACTGAAATGTTTTCAGAAATTATGGCGATTTTCAGTATGATTCTCCAAAGTACCTGGATTCATAACTATTTATTTCACGTTTCAACTTTTAGAATTTTAGCATTCATGATCATTTTAGATTAATAATGTCGAACGTTTTCCTATGAAAGTCATTTGCTGACCGTTAACCAAATACATACTTAATTATTGTACATACCTAAGTGATTAATACCTATTTATTTTGTATTTTTACAAAGCGGTGTAACTCAAATTGAGTATTTTTATTTTATTGATTGTTAATTATATTTTTATATAAATATTAAATTGTTATTAACTGGTTTCTCTAATTTCCCAAAAACAACTCACCTGGTAACCAACCCATTTTCAAGGCTTTTTTTCATGACCCGAATTTTTTTGAAAAGTACATAGAAAGTTGGCCTAAAAGCGCTTCACAAGTTGCAATTGGTGTGGATAAAGTGAGAAGCAAACGACACTTAGAAAACAACTTTTTTGAAATCAAGAGTCCTTACTGGTCTAGTGGTATGGCGTCGTCACCAACATGCGCGTCAAATGTAACCACTGCAGTCGCATCTTTTTAAGGATTAGTACATGTAGGGCTGACAAACTCAATGTCCTAAATTTTGAATATTTTAATTTTTAAAACTCTAGTTCCCTCCCCAAATTAACGAAATCTGCGTTTCCTAGTCCTACACGAATAGACCCTGCGAAACTAAAATGAAGAATAATTTACAAAATAGGATAATTCCTGTATCCATGATTTTATAAAGTAGCGGAACGGATTTAGAAATCAAATACAGTAATTTACAAAATGCACAATGCACAACAGATGAAAACGATTTACTGCAATTACATGTTCTCTCCAACATTGCTCCACCCAATATCAGACGGGAATTGTTCTTAAAAAAATTGTGAGACAAATATAAAAATGACGCTCCCCATAAATTTAGATCTAAATAATTTACCTTTTTATCGATTAAAATCACGAAACCCGTTATGGAAAGAAGACTACATTCAAAAGTATATTCCATTAAAGAACGTTGGAAAATTCTTTGGATACAGCATAATAACACAATTTTTAATCGAAATTTAATCAAAGAACCGTCCAATGAAGTTGCGGGGCTTGATCTTTCAAGAAAAATGTGGGTCAAATTAAATCGTATAAGAACATGGAAGATGCAATTACATACTGCACAAATGGAATCCAGCCTGCCTATGCGGAGATCCTAAAAAAACCATCCAACATTTAGTTGAGGAATGTCCAAATTCAAAGTTTAATCCCGGTTTTGAAGCACTTCACCACATTTCTCCAGAAGCACTAGAATGGTCTTATAATATTAAATTTGTCCTGGTAAGAATAAGAATTGGAAGTGTAAATATTCATACGATTATATTGAAGTGCGAAAAATTCTAATCCTCTTAATTCCTCCATGTGTATGTACTTGCCCCTCCCCCTCTTCGGACGGTTTTTAATTTAACATGTGTTAAGTATGGAATAGGCGAAAAGGAAGGATTTTATCAAAAAATGCCTGTATACAGACGTATTGCAATTTGTTAAGGTATATTGGAAAAAACTGCAGTTGTTTATATTAGTTAAAAATTTCGAGAAACAAAAAGTGAACACCGTTATAGTTGCTATAAAATTACATTAGTGATGTCTATTGTAGGAAATCGTTTTGTGAATGTAACAAAAGCGGAAAGTGCGGGCGCTCCATAAAGCTTGAGAAACTGGAAGTTTTCCATATGGCAAGTAGATACTTATTCGCATATAAAACCAGTTGCCGAATTCTTGACAGAACAGCTTCCTAGCTCAATCCGAAAATAGAGCTTTTAGAAGAGTGTCTTCAAAAAATAATAAGTTTAGACAAAAACGTTTCCCACGAAAATTTATTATTTTCCGATGTAGAATAAGAATATTCAAGGTTTCTATTTGAAGAAATTAAGTTGCCCTACACTTTACCGGAACTGGTAGTCCAAAAGAAATGACCCTCGGCTACACCCCTATTCGTCTCGTGTATCCAGTTAAACCCCCATAAATGATTCCTGAAACTAATACAATATATTCTATGCAAAAATACTTGCATCAAAACTATCGTATATAAGTGTTACCACCGTAAACCGTATTTATGTTTGTTTATTCTTTTCTATTGTTGTACTTGCAAAAAAACAAAGTTTACCCCTTAAATTAGTAATTCTAATTAGATCGTGATAATAGGTTATTTTTAATGATACATTCTTTCCTAAATACGAAATTCGCGTGGCGTTTGGCATCTAGGTATTTCGTGTACTCTTTTTGTAAAAAAAAAAGATTCTGCATTATTTTCCTTAGAAAAGTACATTGAAAAACACCAGTTCTCGTCCGATCACCGAAGTTCAGCAATCTAGGGCGCGGTTAGTACAGCTCAAATGGGTTACCGCGTGCCGTTGTATCTCTTTTTTTTAATTTTGCTCATGTTTGTCTATTGATTTATTTCATGTCACAAGGCAACATATAATTAATAATTGTAATTCCTAATTAGAATTAGTTGAGTCTTACCGAACAAAAATATTTTAGTTTTTTGACATTTTTTTTCTATAATAAAACCTGGCACAATTTTTGTAGGTTCTACACAGAAAAATAAGGTCTTTCGAATACCTAACTTAAAAAAATTTTAGGATCCTATTTGAAAAAAAAGTTCGGAGCCGTTACAGCGCTTCAAAATTTTTTTTCAAAAATCCAGCTCGATATTTTTCGGTTCAGTATGTCTAATATACATATCCAAAATTTGAACAAAATCCGTCGAGCCGTTGCCTCGGAAAATTGCCAACGTACGCACATACATACAGACGGAAAAAAATGTTATTCTTTAAAAGTTGCTTAATATGATCTAAAACGTCGACATTTGATGAAATTTTAACATGTCCAAAAAACGGTGATCGCAATAGCCACCTAGAGATGGGAATTACCAACATAAACTGGATCTTTGAATATTCAAAGCTGAAAGCTGGGATCCAATAAATTTGTCTACAGAATCCTAATTGGGGGTTGTGGACGATACCCCAAACGTGGACTAAAAATGTAAAACTTGAATGTGAGGATTATGACTGATGTACTTATCTTTTCTAATAACCGTGATTCCCCTTTTGGGTCTATGAGCATATAATTTGCCTTACCTGGGACCTGGGATAGGTTGCTAGTCTTTTCTAAAAACGCTCCTCTTTTATTCGAGCTTAGCAACGACATAGCAACCGGTTTGATTTCATTTATGCGTCCAGATCCGCTACAGTCAGAAGAAACAGCAGGGATAAAGGAGCGAATATAAATACAGGTAAAACCAGTGTATATCGAGGATAAATAACTAAACATTGCACGAGGGTACAAAGAAGATAAAAGGTACAAACTGAAATAATTGGAAAAAATCGTTCTCTTTTACTCCAGATTGCCTGTATTGGTCTCTATACAACACCGTACGCCACAAAATTTGCGATACCACAACGATTAGCTCCTCTCCGCAGTCTCATATACCCGTCCTCCCCCCATCGATTGCCCCACCAATTTTTCAAAATCCAAGCATCTTTAGTATAACCAACCACTAGCATCGCATGGTTAACAGTATTGGGAGAGCAAAACGGATCGTCATAAACCCCAGAACTATAAGCAGCAATCTTAAATGTGATAATCTCAAAAGAGTTGTACAAAATCTTACTGGTACAATTGAAACGTATGAGGACTTGCATTGATTGATGCCGCAATCGGTCCAATCTTGTATATAGCGATTTCCATGGCCCTTTCATTTCTAGCTGGAAGAATTGCCCACGAACTCAAATTTACTATTGCTCTGTGTTGATCAAAGTGGCACCTGGTTTGCTGCAAATGCTAATTATAAAATTATGGTAGTCAGTAATTTACCTTCGCAATATACGGATAGTCCTTATAAGTCATAAGGCCTCCTGACTGATCTAGGTATCTTAAAGTATTGCGCAAAGATCCTCCTCCACAACCATAGTTGCCAGCTGATACGCTGCAATCAACTAGCTGTTGTGCACTACGAGAGACATAGTTACATTAGAGAGATTTGAAAGCTGCAACACCTACCTTAAGGGAACCAATTGATTCGTTTGCTTAAAAATTTGTGCCTGCAATGCCAATGCAACGCTGAATGCGTAACATGACCCGCAGTCCTTTTGATTGTAAATCGGTGTCTTAAATCCTGCTTTTCTCCAATCAAATTCATCGGGTATATGATGGGCCATTTCGTAAAAGTCACCCACCACCTCCGGGTTTTCCAGTTTTCTCCTTGTACTTTGTGTTAATTTAACCATTTTTTGGAGATAGGTTCTTGTATTCTAATCGAAAACTGTACTTTACGGATCAGTATTATCGGAAGATCTTACCAAATCACTTAAATCGTTAATGTTAATGAAATAGCTGTGTTTTCCTTTATGGGCGTCCTTATTATGCTCGACAATACGTTGTAGGTTTTCCTCCCAAGCTTGTCTTCGTCTTTCTTCATGATAACCGACGTACGTTTTATTAAATGATCTCTAAACAAAAACCAATATTGAGCCTTAAGTCGACTTCACGTAACTTACTTTGAAATCGTGCCACAATTTGTTCAATTCTGTGCTGCTTGGTAAATGAAAAATTTGGCAATGGGTTAAGCTTAATGTTAAAAACAAAATGTGAAATAATGCAATCATCTCAGAGCGGTAACTGCATATAATAATGAAAAGCAAGTGAGACATCATACCCATTGATTGTGAAACCTTGTTGTAATTAGAATGGGTAAGCATATATTGAATGTCGTCCACGCGACTATAAAAATTAGATCATCAGATTTGCTAACAGTGCAACAACACCTAAAATTTATATTGTGTGCGGCTTTTAATAGACACTAAGTTATAAAGGCTTTGCTCTTTACGCTTTTAGATTTTTGGATACCAACAGTCGAATCAAAAATTTGAATGTATAAGGGGAACGAGTAAAGATTGGGATTGAGGGACCAGTAAGGTTTATTGTATCAGAATGACCCCTTTAGTGCTCAGAGAGAATTCTGGGAATTGGATTATGAATTTTCAGAGAAGGATGAATGGAAGCACACGAACTTATGCCTCCCATTTATGCTGGCTCTCCTACTCCTTACAATGTTATTCAAGTTCCCCCACATTAAGAACCGACGTATCCTTACGAGAAAAATCGAATCGTACTTTTGGCCACGATATCATAAGTATTGGTTTACAGTTGAGGCTGCAACCGAGAAAAATCTACAAAACGGTTTTTTTGTGTCCTTTGACTCCTACGATGCCACCATGACTATGCTCTCCATGAAAGCTTTCCTGGTACTACGTTAAGTAGAACATATAAGATTTGCGTGTGAAAATAGATAAGGATAAAGTATTTTTTCTATTTCGGTGTCACAATGATGACTGATAAAATGTTTATTAAACTGTCTGTTTTCCCTCATTGGAAAACGAATCGGTTCGGAATAAACCAATTCTTGTACATTTTCCTTACCTGTTCCATGAGTAGATTATAAAAAAGTGGTTTTATTCCTACCCTTTGGCAACTGCCGTAGGGGTTGCTGGAACAACTCCTTCCAGTTGGTGGAACAACCCCTTAATGATAAATTCATTGTAAAACACTTCAATTAAAACAGAATTGTTTAACAACCTAACATCAACCCCAATTAGAGAAACGTGTTAATAATTTATTAATAGTGCAAGAAACTAAATACAGCACATACTTATAAATTTCCAACAGGCGATTATGATCTACAGGCCAGGTGGCAATCGCCACCCGCCCCCCCGGGCCAGTGCGCCCCTGGTTATACACTGCCTTTTTTTGAGTCCCGAAAAAAACATTGTCTCAGATCGCCCCGGAAAAAAAATTTTCTTATAGAATGTGGCCTGTAGAATCCATAATTTCAAACAGTTCCAAGATTGGGCTACTAGTTCAAAAGTTACAGCCTTTTGAATTTTTTTTCGAAATTGGTTTCTAGTCTATAACTTTTGATTGAGAAGTCTGATCGAAAAAGTACGAATTGATTTGGATTCTACGCACCCAATTTAATAAGAAAAAGTGTTTTCCCGAGAAATTTTGGTGTAGTCGATTTTTGGTAAAAAAGGAAGGTTATACACTGCCTTTTTTTGAGCCCCGAAAAAAAAATTGTCTCAGATCGCCCCGGAAAAAAATTTTCTTATAGAATGTGGCCTGTAGAATCCATAATTTCAAACAGTTCCAAGATTGGGCTACTAGTTCAAAAGTTAAAAGAAATTTTGGTGTAGTCGAATTTTGGTAAAAAAGGAAGGTTATACACAGGGGCGCCACAAAAACATTTTAAAGTACTCTTTTCTCGAAAATGTATTATGTCAGCACTTTCATGCTACGACAAAAAAATGATAAATTCATTGTAAAACACTTAATTTATTAATAGTGCAAGAAACTAAATACAGCACATACTTATAAATTTCCAACGGGCCATTATGATCTACAGGCTAGGTGGCGTTCGCCCCCCCCCCCCCCCCCCCGTGCCAGTCCGCCCCTGCGTGCATACGCAGAAGTTAATTTCTTATTTGTGGATTCGGTACTTCGGTTAATAAAACGCGAACCGATCAATGCGTGTGAAGTAATACAATAAAGAGAAGTACTGGCTTGCGTAGAATTCCGCCGTGAGTAGTTTCTGAAACTTAAGGAGACTGCTTATTACTTTCTCTAGACCTAGGCCCTAGGGTGTTACAGTTGTACGCATTCCCACTATTCATACCACTTTCACGCCACGGAGCCAGTTGGTTCTTTTTGCAGATTTTAAAATGATCATCTGCTCATAGCCCGCTCTCGCCTTCTTACGTGCCGGTAACCAGTAAGAAGCTGTCGAAGATTAGAAAAAATTACTTTTATGATCTACACGGAGAGTAGGTAATTGTGCAGCAATTGATTTTCCCTACCTGATATTTTAAGACGAAAGCTTTTTTTGATTGTTTAAAGAGTACGTAAGTAGTGCAGCAGCACAGCTACAGGCAAGACACAACGATCAGTCGGATCAGTGCAACAGGGCGTGCAGGACTGTTGTCACCCTGGTCGCGAGTGCGAAAGAGAAAACGAACGCGGTCGGTAGGTAAACTGTAGAACCGGATGCGACCCTCTTGGCGGGATGTAAGCCAATACCTTTTACTGCCCTCGCTGTGGGCGAGGAGGTATTCGTTAATTCTCTAATGTAGTACTAAACCGTACCATTTAGATGCTTGTAAGGGATGTTGTGCAGGGGCCAGCTCAATGGGCGCTACTATCTCCTATTGTCCCTACAACGGCGGAACTTTTTATTAAGCTGGTTGAAGGGGGAGGACTGTGAGTTTCCAATATAGAACGGCGTAGGTGAGATGTTGCCTCACTTTTATATAAAACAGTACTTCCGCGATAACCAGTCGCACTCTTCTTGCGTCTTGAGCAAAAGTGGGTCCTGAGGACGAGGACACATCGGTAGTACGTACGTATCTGACAAGAAGCTGCCCATGAAAATTAGATCTATATAGTAGCAGAGGTAATATTAATTGAGAAAGAACCTTCTAATCTGAAGAGCAATCAATGTTGTAACAATGTTCCCAAAGTGTTTTGAAAAATAATTTTTGTATATTTGTTGGCCAGAAAGTATGAATTAATCGAATCAATCAAATTGTTGTTATTTCAAATTAGTAAAACAATGAGGACCCATGGGTAGTAGTTATGAAACGGTCGATAGTAGTCTCTAACGTGTATTTTGAGCCTGTGGTTAACCAATCGACGCCGACGCCGCTTTCGACTTTCAAGCACACGCCTAATCGGCTATAATATCGCAAATGCACAATAGGCCAAAAGGGGCTCTGGATTGTACCACGCCGAAATGACTTGGCTTGGGTTCGGTTGCGGGAATGTATTTTCTACCAGAGAGTACCTCAAGGCTCTATTTTGTTCAAGTAGTGATCCCCGTCAGAATTAAGCGGGTCATGGAAAACGCATTGGACGAACAGCTGTGCAACTGATTTGGTGCGTTTATCTCAAAGTACAAAAGTTCAAATAATGGAGTGCTGTAATGAGTTATCAGGATGAAACGGAACTAAACTAAATATAACGACTTAGTGATACAGTTAATTTCTAATTGCATTTGATAATTATACAAGTTGGTATAAGGAGCAAGGTTTTTCCAGTGCGGATTCGGCTCGTTTAATGAGAGATTGACCACTTCCAATTAGCAATTTAAATTCTCGCGGCGAGTACTTTTAAGTATGCATTTGCACGAAAGGAAGCGAGCGTTCTCGAATGGAAGTTAAGTTAACTTAATTTTAGTCGCGGTTCGATGTTTAGGTCAGAGACAACCTTCTGTTTCCTGTCTCTGTTTAGTCATATTTTTGTGAGACATGTATGTCAATATAATTGGACAGATTACTGCTCATGTTGGGTCGTAGATTAAAAGTAATAAATGGGGGCGACGTATGCCTAAAAAATAAAACGCTTTCTAGTGCGTAGCTGTGATAAATAGTGCCAGTAGAATTTTAACTAATATATTAAAAATGGAAAGTAACTCTAACATGAACGAATCCGGTATCGATCTCGGATTTGATTCAACTTTTTTGAATTCGGACGACTTAATTCGCACAATTGACGATCTTCTAAGCACCCCTACAAATCAAGAATTTTACGAACTTACGTCCAAGACATTACCAGAAACTGAAAGGTGAGTTTCGGCAAAATTGTTTAATGAAACGTTCACGTGAGATTTATATACTTCGCTGTTGTATATACCTATTGTTGATGTCATTGCGGCGCGGGAAACACAAAACAACCACAAACTTTCCTTCGAAACTGCTTTTTGCGCTGCAGCTTATAAATTTAACTTCCGTCAACACATTGGCAGGTATTTATTTCGATAGGTTCGACGATATATATACAAAAATTATTTATGGAATCGCATTTAAAAATAGACCAGAGTCCTTCATTTAGCGGAGAAACGCAAAGTTTATTACAAACACGCAGTTTGGCATAAATATTCAAAGATTTCAAACCTCTCTCGCGGAAACGAAATTACTCTTTTGAAGAAAATAAAACGTGTATATACCTATGTTCACGTCCACGCAAGTGCGCGAATTTCAAAAAATTTCCGATAGTGTGCGTGCTGCCATGGGGGGTTTAAACTCGGAAGTCCTCGATAACGCGCTCGATTGTACGAACAAAAAGGGCAACGTTAGAGTCAATTTGGGCATCGATGAAGATCTTCAGATGATTTTGGAAATGGATCCAAGTATTATCGATTATGGCAATGCGGCAAATCTGGAAAAATACCCTTTATTTAGAACGGAATATGGCACATCGCGATCAGGCGGGTAGGTGTTTTAAAAGAAGGGCGCTTTAGTAATTTTATCCCATTGTACACATTGCGTAATATTGCATAACGAGATATGTTCAGAAACTTTGGTGTTTCTGGTCTTTCATTTCATAGGAGGTGGCTGCCCTTCATCCACAAAATGAATCAACGTATTCCATTTGAGGGCCTAAAGGGTCACTTTTGTACTCGAAAGAATTTAAAGTGATAGTAAAGAATGGAATGCCAAACACTTTAAAGACTAATGGTGACATTCAATAATGTATCTTGTATATTTGTATCGGAGGGAATTATTGCCCCACAGCTGCTTTAGCGACATAATCGTCGTGTAATAATAGTAGGTAATTGCAAAACAAAATTTGAACAAACTTGCGTGTGAACATTTACATTGCTAAATAACGTGCTAAATTCAAGAAATGCTTATTAATTTATTAATCGAATTTGAGGTAGGTAACAATAATGTAGGTAATATAAATAATCATCACGATGCCGAATTGTTTGGGTTTTCCAAAAACCTGAAGGTTATAATTATGTTGCAGAAATTAAACAAGTACTGGACATTCTCTTTTCACAGATAACAGATAGAAAATTGATGTAGGTGAATGTCTTTTAGTTTAGTTTAGTCCTTTAGGCTCGATTGCCGATAGGGCACACTAATTATTACTAACGACAGGCTATTGAAATGTCACCTTTATCAAGATTATTGTCTGCCCGTCTATGCCATAACTTGGATATAGGTTATTCTTGGTCCAAGGGAGAACCATATAGAACGGTCAGTAGGGTTTAGGTTATCGTTGGATTGGTTTATGCTTTTTGCAAATGTGGAAAAACTTTTAGCGTAAAAAATGAGTTCAGGAACCCGATGGAGCAATATCGTCATCATCATTTACTATCGGAGTAAAATGTTTAGTTCTGAATATTCTGGGGGGCAAATAGTTCAACAACTGACTTTCCCCAGTTATGTTCTATTAAAAGACACATAAAATAGACAACTTATTTCGCTAATTGAATTAGATTATTGTTATAACTTAGGGGGGGGGGGGCTTTTTTTTAAAATGTAACCTTAAACCATACAAATAATAATTATTAAAAATGAACCAAAATTGCTATGTTACCCCTACGATATTTATATCACTGCGTTTGGATTTCAACAAAATAACAAATGCCACAATACTTTCTAATCCGTATTAGCTTGACGCAGCGTCGCTATCCAAAGATTTCGTGTTGGTTGAAAATTCCCCTAAGCCAGGGCTTGTATTGGTTGACAAATTTGGCTTGCGTCCCACCCCAGATTGAATAGATTCCAATACGTGCTGTACTTATGCGGCTTCGGCTTTTCTTAGGACAGGGATTACAGATAATCGAGTAAGTACGACAAGTATTAAAGCAAACATAGTGCAACGCAGCTATTGTTAGACTTTTTTGTAAGATGAAGGAAATAATTAACGTAAAAAGGTTGTACCCATTATGTGACAACATCCTTTAAATTTGTAAATTAACCAATATAAATATACAAAATACCATGTGTGAAATTCGGCAAACGTGTTTTGTTCCGCATGTTACCACATAATCATACAAGGTGTTCCAAATTGGATGCATTAGCATTGCTATTATAGTAGGTATAAGACAAGAATTACATTGAACAATTATCGATCTGCTCATTTTATTTTTTTACGACTTTATTGGATATGTGAAAAAACCAAGAGACACTTTTCTATGCTATGTCAAAATATCCGATGTTCGTTGGTTGTTCAAACTCGAACTACTGATTGATCCAATAAGCCGATCCAAATGATTGAAAAAGACGTTCTTGTATAATGAATGGCTCCTTTGATTACAAAGCTGAAATGTGATTATTTACCTCGTTATTTACCCATAAAACAATTGACTCTCGGCCAGGAATACGGCCACGGGGCACGGAAAGCACGTTGCGTCGCCATGATGGAATGACCATTAAAGAAGTGCGCCTCAACTGCGAATGCGCAGTGCACCTTGGGCCACTCTATGATGGCGACTGCACAAAGTAGAATAGAAACTTTAGCCCTCTTGGATGATCTTGCTACCAACCTGACAACAGTAGTCGTCGCTTGCTTCAGTACTGCCAACTGTACTTACTCTGCTTTCACGGAGATAAAGTTATTAACTAAGAGTGTTATGTAACGGAGCCAGACATTCACAGTAACGGCATATGGGTAGAGCTCAGGCGCCTGCCATTTTCGCCAGGACATAACCTGCCTTATTGTAACAATATGGGTACGATCAGGGCTTATTTTCGTGGTTTGAGTTCAGGCGTCATTGTAGTATGGAGTTATGACCATGCAAACAAATGCAATAAATATTTACGCCCCCACATAAAGCTGATCACCTTCCTGCAAAAATATAAAATACTTGTGAACAGTGAATCTAACTACGTAGACAAAATCTCCCCTAAATTATCTAAACACCGTGTATATTAATCCCAAACGAAAGTCACCTTTAGCTACTACGTATCAAAAACTGTAATATGTCCTAAGTTGCATTAACACCCCGTATATTAATCCTAATTCTTCCGCTAATAAATAATAAAACCAACCCAGACGCCCAAGCAAAATCATATTAATTAAGCTAAAGGAATGTAATTGCACAAATTGCAATCCCTAATATCGTACTTCATTGAATTTACGTGCTACAATTAAAGTCTGATACACGCAAACTACAGCAAATAACAAATCTACCCCTAAATATGGTCCTTACCCTAATTTACTAAGTAATTCTTACAATATTGCGTAATTTTACATAAAAGCACTACCAATTCAAATTTATAAAAGCCAACAATTAATAATTAAAATGCATTTACCTATATTTTCTCTGCTGTCTCAACGAGAAACTTGGCTACCTTCCTTTTCTCGCTTAAGGGAAGCAAAACCATACTCTCTTTTACAGCGAAGGGCTGTCCTTGTGCAATTTGAATTATGCACTTCTCGGTAAAATATTTTCAGTGGCGTAGCATGCGTTTTTATCCTTTAATGTAATGCACAAAAGCGGGACCGCTCAAATTTAATAACTGACAGATATGTTACATTACAAACGAATTAATACTTGTATGTGGGCGCAATATTTCAATCTCATATACCCTTCACTGGTCTTAAAAGAATTTTAAGAAGGAAAGTGATGGCAACTAACCACTAAAAACCCAACTCTTGGACTACTTTATGGGAAGGCGCCAAAAAGATGGACAGAAAACCACTTTGTGTTACCGTTGGTATTTCGCCTCCTTACCAGTTTCGTATATTTTTGTGCATTTGTTTAAAAATGTGCTGTTTAATGTTTCAAGTTTAATGCTTTCACGGAATTGCCTCCTTCTACATGAATTACTTCCAGAAGAGCTCTTTTGGAAACTGAAAAAATAGTATCGTAAGAGCTAGACGAAACTGCAAGGTCTGGAAGAGACGTATGTAGTGATGGAGTTACCAATATGATCATAGGTGGAAGTTTGTGAGTCTGTGAAGAACAGGACTCTCTCCCATCACATGATTCTTGCTTCTTAGCACAACTCCCTGCAGTCTACAAACATGGACAAGGAAAGGAATTACATTCCCAAAATGGCATCAAGTAAAGGACTGCATTGTACTTCGTTTGTATGAGATAGTATGTCCAGCTGTTGAGCAATTTGGTAACAAATTCGACCTTGACGTCAGAAATGGCAATGATCTAATTTTGCCCGTACCTATTCAACTCTAAATTATGAGATCGATCATTTCTTCAAATGGATTTTCTTCTTCGGTTAGGAAAGTACAGACCTACATTGGCAATACTTTATCGTAAAAGTTTGTTAATTATTAATTGATTGCTCCTATAAGTGGATGACGTTAGCGTATCACATTATTTAAATCAATGCATAATTAGAAGGTCATATTTATCAATAATGTTTCAGGATTCTGCACAAATATTTGTTAAATATTGAACTTCCCTGGAATGACGCCATTCATTGTGATATTCATTAATAGGTTGAAAGTTCAATTTGTTTACAAAGAAAAATTCTTGTGTGTAAAGATTAGACCTTGTTGATGACGATGATAAACGCTATCCAATTGTTTACTCAACAAATTTTTCTTCCGGGAGCGTGATTTTAACATGCCAGAAGGGGCTAATGATGGACTAAACGAAAGAAAGCGATTTTTGCTCAATAACAAATGTTAGTTAGTCTTGAGCGCATTTTCACCACACGATGGTGTATAGAGTTGGTCAAAGGGAACGGTTGTGAGTTCCTTTGGTCCAAGAAGTATCGAATAGTTCCATTTCGCTACGGTGATTACTTAATAGAATTGTGTGCAGATGTCAAAGATCAATCATATCGTCGACCTTGTTACGCTTTTGTTTAATGGAACGTTTGAGTAATAGGAGTGATGATTCACAAGCGATAAGAGCCCATCCGGTGAAAACTTGCTCGATTTTTAGGGAAAAGAAGAATGTTTTGTATTCTTGTCTTTTCTTTGATTTTTGTTAAGGTACCATAAAGTAGTGTGCAGGCACAGTTTTGTTTCCTTCACCTACATTTGAGATTCTACTTGATTCTATGGATTTATTTATATCCACCGATTATAGTTGTTTGAACTTCATATGCTAATTTTGCGGACGTCATAGCGAATGATTCATTTTACTGGTTGCGATAAAAATGAAATTTTATTATTCAACGTTTTGCATAAAAAAGTGTTTGTTACAAGGGAATTTCCGATGAACCGATTTGTGGTTTCGTCCTTGGATGCAGCTACCAAATGCTGAATGGTTTGGTCCAAAATATTGGTTTCATTTGGTTTGGAATTATATAGCACTAAAATTTCTAATTGGCATTGCTAATAAGTGAAGCACAAATACAGGCAAAAACGTTATTGCTATACTTTCTCCTCAGATCTACGTTTTGGCGAAAGGCGAACGATACTAAACAAATTTTCTAACTCGTTTCTTGAATTTTTACTTCCACTATTTACTGGAGTTCCATATTTCGATTACAAAGGCGTTTTAATTTGCGGTAATATTCACATCTAATTAACTTAGTTATCTCGTGAATATATAAAACTATGGGAAAGCCGCCCATTGCTTAAAAACAATGATCTTAAAAGATTAATGTTAGAACATTAATGAAACGTCTCGGACATCAAAAATGGTCAGTTTTTTAAGAAAAAATAACAAACTTCTAAATGCCATATAGTATGCATTAATTAGCATTAATTACATAACGCTGTATTATTCTATTTTAAATCATGGACGCAAGGGACAATTGTGACAAATTGTAAAAAAAACTACAAATTGGCTTACCGTAGCATTAGGTCAAAAACAAACATGCTAAGGGGTACTCACACAAATCAAACACTTCCTTCTAAAGGTCTAAATAAGAAATGCACAGTTTTAAATGGGAAAGACAACTTACCTCGCCTTATTTCATATTTAGACAAAAATTTCAGGATAAAAAAAAATGGTGAGAAAAAATTCTCGGAGTAGACCTATAACCTTAGCACACATTTCTGTTTTGGACTCCGACAGAGACTTCGTAAAGAGGTCGGCAAGCTTTTTCGATGAGGGGGAATTATTTAAATGTATATGTTAGCAGCAAATCCGGTTACGTCGCTAAAGTTAGGTTTCTCTAGGTAATTTTAGCATTGCCGGCCCTCTCGAAGCAAAGTTCCAGGTTATTTGGTATTACGAACTTTACCTGATATATGTGGTTTGCGAGATGTGGGTTTCGAAATCATTTTATGTAGGTATTTAAAAATTAGAAATACAGGATGAATCCAATACCGTAAACAAAATAAGATAGAAAATTACGGTTTCAACTAGTGAGCTTCAAATTTCAAAAATGTTTCCAAAAATTTAAAAATTTAGTTGAAAATGGGCATTTTATAACTGGGAAATTTTTTTTATTGTAAATGCGAAAAAACTTTCAAATTTGAAACTTACTTGAAAAAAACCGCACATTTCTTTTTACTTTGTTTGGTCAATAATTACGTTTAAAATGTGCCGGTTTCAACTTCGAATAAATTCAGTAAATGAAAGACAGTTTTTTTTTGGAAATATGTTTTTATGTAATAAAAATGTATACAGCGGGTTTCAATTTTGAGATATGACGTCATCCACCATTTTTTTAAATGGCAACACTAATTTTGTTAAGACTATCCTTAAATAGTAAATCAGTGAAGTTACACATGTGTGCCAAATTTCAAGTTTTACTTGAGGCATCCTCTGTTGCTGTTAATTACCCTTTCTACGCTTTTGCGTACAAGGTATACCTATACCTAGTCAAATTTATTCCAAATACACTAAGGGCTCAAAGTGTCTTTAGAAATTTTTGTTTCAATAACTATAAGACATACAAGGGTTGAACTAATGGCTTTGTCTATGTTTTTGGGTATGCCTTTTTTGATTTTGTACTCCCTTAAAAAGGGTGTAAACAATAATGGGCCGCTGGAGGCGCCTTATACTCAAAAAACTGCTGCAGGTCTAAATGTATGTTAGGATATATTTAGACGGTTTCGACTTTCTTGAAAAATAGCCTGCAAAAACATTTTTGTGGTTTATCCAAGAATTACAGTTGCAATGTTATTTTTAGCATATGCAAAAACTAATTTTGAGTTCGCTATTCTCATGTTGAAAAACCCCAAATTTCGCCGTGATTTATTAGACAAATCTTTAAATGCCTCTGGCACATCTTCAAGGTTCAGCTTCGAATGCAGCAATGTCAGGACTATAATACAATTCCCCTAAAAGTAGCACAAATGCATTAACACATTCTGAGCAGCGGTGACTCTCAACTCAGTTTATTCACAGTTTATTTGTACAATTAGCTTTTACAGGACCTAGTTCTGGCGATTTCCTTCGGTAGCTTGGATTTTTCCAGATCATGTCAGAATCTCGCTTCTGAGGACGAAAAATATTCCCTAAAGTTAATTATCAATACATACTTACAGTTAAATTTCAAGTAAATTGCAAACATGCCGGGTTTTTGACAATCTTTTTCCATTGACCCAAGAAGTACTTAAAGAATTGACGAAAATGGTGGTAAACTCCATTAAAAAAAAAGAGTTATTCCATTTTGGGATCATGTTCGTTGACGAATTTCAAAACGCACTTTCTTTAAGGGTAGGAGGTTTTTGGGCCAAATCGGTTACGCAAAACCAACTGTGGAGGCGTTTAATAATGCTTTATTTATAAATGATTGCGAATTCTATCTCAACTTCGTTTTTTCCTACTTCAATTCGATGATTATGTTAATATTGTTGCATAAAGCACATTTGTAAACGAACGCCTTTTTGTTTCAGTCCTCCTAATTTAAAAACCGCAACGCCATTATCACGTACACAACTTAAGCAGCAGTTAATGCGCGAACAAGCGTTACAAGAACAAGAACGACGCGAAGCAATAGAAAAAGCACAGAGAGCCTCACAAGAAGCCCAAAAACCAATTCAAACTGCGACACGATTGCCATACAGTATTGCTGTTGACGTCCCCCCTCAAGTTCTACAGGTTGGTATTTCTGTATGCTTGACACACCAAATACTTACGAATGTTCAGGTCAAAACCAAATTGGAGAACCCTACGCGCTACCATGTTATGCAAAAACAGAAAAGCCAAGTTCAGCAGTACCTAAGCACCAATTTACCACGAGTACAAGAAAACCTGTGTCAATCTCAAACTCAAAGTGCCCCAGGCTTCACAAATCCATTCGTAAATGGAACATCAACCGTGTTGCCCACACCTTCGGCACCACCTTACGGTTACACTCAACAAGTGTACGCTTCCGGACCTGCGATTAGTCCAAACTGTGATGCTCCAGCACTGTCACCTGCACTTAGTTCCGGCGCAAGCACATCTGGGGTAAGTTACGAGCTTTTTTGAATATGTTTCAAAAAGAATTGCGTGATAAGGCTTTCTTTTAGATAATGTTGAAGGGAAAGCCAAAGTGTCAGGGTGCCAAATCCTGTGAATAATGTGCATGATACAACCTTGTATGTGTTCATGAAGGAACCCAAATTCCCAGAAATTTTGTTGTCAGACCTTTCTTTAACTGGTCCAATTGGGTAAAACGATTTTGTATTTTCCAAGAACATATTGAGAACATGATTGACAAGATACCATCATTGCGGTTATGTTAGACCAGTTGCCTATACATAAATTTACCTCACAATCGTATTATATTTTCCTGATCATAAGCAGCTTTGATCAGGGGCGGACTGGCACGGGGGGGTGGGTGGCGATTGCCACCTAGCCTGTAGATCATAATGGCCCGTTGGAAATTTATAAGTATGTGCTGTATTTAGTTTCTTGCACTATTAATAAATTATTAACACGTTTCTCTAATTGGGGTTGATATTAGGTTGTTAAAAAATTCTGTTTTAATTGAAGTGTTTTACAATGAATTTATCATTTTTTGTCGTGGTATTTTGAAAGTGCTGAAATACAATGATAGGCGACGCACCTCGTGTGGATTGTATATTTTGTTACTTTTAATTATCAGCTGCAATTAAAAAAAAACTGTATGGTAATTGATTTTCGAGAAAGGAGTACTTTAAATTCTCAATCAAAAGTTATAGACTAGAAACCAATTTCGAAAAAAAATTCAAAGGGCTGTAACTTTTGAACTAGTAGCCGAATCTTGGAACTGTTTGAAATTATGGATTCTACAGGCCACATTCTATAAGAAAATTTTTTTTCCGGGTCGATCTGAGACAATTTTTTTTTTCGGGCTCAAAAAAAGGCAGTGTATAACCTTCCTTTTTTACCAAAAATCGACTGCACCAAAATTTCTCGGGAAAACACTTTTTCTTATTAATTTTGGTGCCTAGAATCCAAAACAATTCGTACTTTTTCGATCAGACTTCTCAATCAAAAGTTATAGACTAGAAAACCAATTTCGAAAGAAAATTCAAAGGGCTGTAACTTTTGAACTAGTAGCCCAATCTTGGAACTGTTTGAAATTATGGATTCTACAGGCCACATTCTATAAGACAATTTTTTTTCCGGGTCGATCTGAGACAATTTTTTTTCGGGGCTCAAAAAAAGGCAGTGTATAACCTTCCTTTTTTACCAAAAATCGACTACACCAAAATTTCTCGGGAAAATACTTTTTCTTATTAATTTTGGTGCGTAGAATCCAAAACAATTCGTACTTTTTCGATCAGACTTTTCAATCAAAAGTTATAGACTAGAAACCAATTTCGAAAAAAAATTCAAAGGGCTGTAACTTTTGAACTAGTAGCTCAATCTTGGAACTGTTTAAAATTATGGATTCTACAGGCCACATTCTATAAAAAAAATTTTTTCCGGATCGATCTGAGACAATTTTTTTTTCGGGGCTCAAAGAAAGGCAGTGTATAATCCTTCCTTTTTTATAAAAAATCGACTACACCAAAATTTCTCGGGAAAACACTTTTTCTTATTAATTTGGGTGCGTAGAATCCAAATCAATTCGTACTTCTTCGATCAGACTTGTCAATGAAAAGTTATAGACTAGAAACCAATTTTGAAAAAAAATTCAAAGGGCTGTAACTTTTGAACTAGTAGCCCAATCTTGGAACTGTTTGAAATTATGGATTCTACAGGCCACATTCTATAAGAAAATTTTTTTTCCCGGTCGATCTGAGACAGTTTTTTCTTCGGGGCTCAAAAAAAGGCAGTGTATAACCTTCCTTTTTTACCAAAAATCGACTACACCAAAATTTCTCGGGAAAACACTTTTTCTAATTAATTTGGGTGCGTAGAATCCAAATCAATTCGTACTTTTTCGATCAGACTTCTCAATCAAAAGTTATAGACTAGAAACCAATTTCGAAAAAAATTCAAAGGGCTGTAAGTTTTGAACTAGTAGCCCAATCTTGGAACTGTTTGAAATTATGGATTCTACAGGCCACATTCTATAAGAAAATTTTTTTTCCGGGTCGATCTGAGACAAGTTTTTTTGCGAGCCTCAAAAAAAGGCAGTGTATAACCTTCCTTTTTTACCAAAAATCGACTACACCAAAATTTCTCGGGAAAACACTTTTTCTTATTAATTTGGGTGGGTAGAATCCAAATCAATTCGTACTTTTTCGATCAGACTTCTCAATCAAAAGTTATAGACTAGAAACCAATTTCGAAAAAAAATTCAAAGGGCTGTAACTTTTGAACTAGTAACCCAATCTTGGAACTGTTTGAAATTATGGATTCTACAGGCCACATTCTATAAGAAAAATTTTTTTCCGGGTCGATCTGAGACAATTTTTTTTGAGGGCCTCAAAAAAGGCAGTGTATAACCTTCCTTTTTTACCAAAATTTTTCGGGAAAACACTTTTTCTTATTAATTTTGGTGCGTAGAATCCAAAACAATTCGTACTTTTTCGATCAGACTTCTCAATCAAAAGTTATAGACTAGAAACCATTTTCGAAAGAAAATTCAAAGGGCTGTAACTTTTGAACTAGTAGCCCAATCTTGGAACTGTTTGAAATTATGAATTCTACAGGCCACATTCTATAAGAAAATTTTTTTTCCGGGTCGATCTGAGACAATTTTTTTTTCGGGGCTCAAAAAAAGGCAGTGTAGTGTATAAACCTTCCTTTTTTTACCAAAAATTGACAACACCAAAATTTCTCGGGAAAACACTTTTTCTTATTAATTTGGGTGCGTAGAATCCAAGTCAATTTGTACTTTTCCCATCAGACTTCTCAATCAAAAGTTATAGACTAGAAACCAATTTCGAAAAAAAATTCAAAGGGCTGTAACTTTAGAACTAGTAGTCCAATCTTGGAACTGTTTGAAATTATGGATTCTACAGGCCACATTCTATAAGAAAATTTTTTTCCGGGTCGATCTGAGACAATTTTTGTTTCGGGGCTCAAAAAAAAGGCAGTGTATAACCTTCCTTTTTTACAAAAAAACGACTACACCAAAATTTCTCGGGAAAACACTTTTTCTTATTAATTTGGGTGCGTAGATATAATTAGATTATAAACTATATCCAAAGATAAGTAACATGTTTTCAATCTACATATTTTTAGTTCAATGATACCATGGTTCAATGATAAATCTTATAGGTACTTGCTTAGATAATTCGTAGATCTTCCTGCATATATATTTTCCAGTTTTTAACGAACCGCTTGCACTATTATATGATCTATTATTTCATTATTATCTAACTGTTATATGATCATAAATGATCATCTATTCGTATACGATATTCCTCAACTACTCGTATATACACAATTACAAAATGGCCATATGCGAATACAGATAGGAGCTGCCCCAAGGGTGCTTCTTGGTTGTAGTAGACCGCTAGTAGGTTGAGTTGGTAGTAAAAATTCTTCCCTCGGATGTATGGTAGACTTAAGATATGGAATGCATTCACAGGATTCCGATATACCGGAATCACGCTGCATTTTTACTGGGTTAATCCCGTGGGGAATTTGTGCAGGATAATTGCCTGCCAATGTAACCAAACAACGCTGAATGAGAAGGACCAAGGACATGTAGAGATCGCATGAGCAGCCTTTTCCTGGCGACGTCCTCCGCCAATTTTCTTATTTCACGATTCGACTTTTTTCTGTATTTACTCCCAAAGTTTTGTAGTTTTTTCAAAGCTTGCCATGCACCATGGGCCAAGTAAGCAGGCACCAAGGAAAGAATGAAATATATGCATAATAAAGGAGTTATCCTGATGAGGATCAATGTGGAGGAAGGGGATAAGAGGCAGGAAATGTTTGAAAGGAGAAGGCCTTAACGAAATGCTAAGGAAGAAACGAAACAGACGTACTAAAACGCAACAAGGCGTAATGAAAGTGTGAAGGAGTCGTGAGGAAAATATATAAAGACAAAAGCCCGCAGTAGGCGTTAATAAAGAGAACATGGAGGTTAGAAGAGGCATGTAAAAAGAACGTGCCCAAAAGAACGTAACGAAAGCCTGAAAGAGATAGGTGTGAAAGAAAGATGACTTGATAAGGTGTGAAAGGGGCACGAGGAGGTGAGATTAAAAAAAACGAAGTTCTAAGAAAGGAGTGTGAATAAAGGAAGAGTCATGGAGAAAAGGCGCCCTAAGGAAAGAAGCAAAATGAAGCTTGAAGCAGTCGCAGAGTAGACGTGAATATATGTAAAGAATCGAGGACGTGTAGGGGAAAGAAAAAACTATGAAAAAACCGGAGATATTTTTGGGCCTGGTAAATTGAGACAAAGTTGCAAATTTAGTCCTACTTTTGGGCAAAATTTGTACTGTAAACAGTCACATACACAATTGTGTCTATAATGGAAACGAAGTAACGTTCATCATTATTTGAGTTGATCAAATACGCATATTCTCATTCTGCTTATGGTTTATCTGTCTGTATAACGTCTCGAAAGCTGACTTTTGACTTTTTGGGTCGATTTTCATGATATATTCAAATGAGTAAGTGTATCGGTGATCAAAAACTTGAAACGCATGTAATGGGCATCCAAAGATATAGTACTTGCAAAGGACACGTGGTGGTTCTGAGCGAGACGTATTGTTCTTTTGGTGATTTTCTGGGAGTTTTAATAGTAGCCTGTGCTATTATGGTTTTGCTCAGTAGCGGCCCAAAAGTCATTTGCCAATTGTGTTAAAGTTTTTTAGGAAGTTGTTTGCTAATATGCTGAAGAACCCTTTATAGGGGTTTAGTTTATTGAACCCCCGGTTTGTTTACTGTCACAATGTTTTCTACAACATTTATTTTTAATATCCTATAGAGAAAGTTGCGCAAATCTGGGGATCTTAACTTGAAGTTATAGCAAACATGGACGAATAGGACAAACAACCATCCAAACTATCCGAGCAGTGGTCAAGATCGTCCAACGAGCAGTAGAGTCTGTTATGCGTTGTGTTGCTTTATGTATA